CACTTTTAATATTTAGTTATAATCTCTTTGCCAGTGTCCATGTGTCCACTCCATATATCATAGGAGGCAATATGCACGGATTGAAAACCTTCTTCTGTAGGCACATGGGTGTTTTGCTTTTCATTGTCAAGTTAATTTCTCCAAAAGCACTCCAATGTAATGACATCGTCAAACAGTTCCCAATAGAAGAATGTGTTTCATTTGGTAGGACTCATCATACGGTTCACCAGACGAAGAATTGAACTGTCCGATGGCCCTGCCATCATCTCAACAGCAGCAGCAGCAGAGACGGGTAACAATGTCCACACTCTGCTCCATCCCACGTGCATGGCATAGTCTAATGTACATTGGTGAATACTAATTGTAAACCTGTGCACAATTTATATGGAATTTAACGTGCGCTGTGTAACTGTTTTTGCGTGGTGGAAATAATAACTTACGTGTGTGTTACAATTGATCCTTTTGTCAGTGTGATAACTGTGGCACTAAAGTATTTAATATTTAAATTGGATTATAGTCGTATTCAGGGCCTGTATCGGACACAATTGTAGTCATAGTTTGAAAAATAAGAACCAAGAAAGCCATTCGTTTTTCAGTGCTGATAATCAGGTGTGTTGGTATGCAACATGTACGACTCTAAACCTTTAATGCTTTTTTTGTTGTTTTTACAGATTTTCTAGTTTAAAAGTTTCCATCTACATAACTTCACATTGTCACGTGTGCACTCCGCTGTCTTTTTGTTTTTGGATTTAATTTCATCCTTGTGTGGTTCAGTTGGTGCCACAACTCTCTGGGTCACTGTGGAGCTGGACTCTTCATCCGCATAAGTTTTTTTTTAAATACCTGTTTTCTCTTGTACTCAACATACGTTTTGTTTATTTTCCTGATCCATTCACATGCAGCTCCCAGGCAAAGATAGTCTTTCTCAATCTGGAGCAACCAGTCAAGAGCTCAGGTATACAGCTTAGAATTTTCATGCCCCTTTTTGCCCCTCTTTCCTTTATAGATGATGGAACAGGCAAAGCGGTTTAGATGTAATACACATAGCACAATCATCTCCGCATTTTGTGTTGTGATTCTCATCCTATATCGCTCCCACAGTCTGCATAAATCACCGTCGGTGGCACTGTTGGTTTCTAACCATCATTACACTTTTTTTACCCATGTTGATTGCATATGCAGTCCCGCCCCCACTTTCTTTAATGTAGTTTCACACGGTTGCTTAATTCCACTCATTATCAGGCACGTGTTAAAAAAAAAGGTTCCCATTGATCCAAACGTAAAACAAATGTTAAGTTTGATTTAAATTTTATTAAACGGTCAAGCAAAGAACCTTTCCTGTATTTGCTAACAAACCGCTCGGATCGAATCATAATGGGAGCTTCCATCATCTTTCAAAGTGCTTAAGTGGCTTTCACAATGCTGAGCGCCATCTGTGGGTTACGGCGCCTTGCGGCGGCGACGAAACGAGTCCGACCCCTCTCCCGTAAAACTCACGCGGCTTTCCTGTTTTATTCCTGCCGACACTGACGTGGCCTGCAAGAAGCAGCGGTTTGTGGAGTCAGGAATGCCACTTCTTTTTGTGACATCGCTGTAATGCCCTCTGAGCTCTCGAGATGAAATGGCAGCAGCTGAAGAGGGGGGCTGTTTTTGTGCGCACCCTGCCGACTAACCTTCCTGCAGGCAGCCTGCCCTGCTTGAGCGGCCTGCTTGCACACACAACCAACTGTGCTGATCCTCACCTTTCAATGATCAATGTGTATAATGTGCTGTGCTTCACTTATGCTGAAATAAATATTTAAAAAAAAGCTTTTAATGACTAATATAGGATGCTTGAATGATGCTGCAGCTGGGCTGGCATGGACTTCAATAGAGCTTATGCATGCGATTACATTTTTCCGTGTATGCCAATAACCTTTTTATACTCCTCTGCATACAATACTTGGTGGGATGTGTATTTATGTACCATATATCTTATTAGTGTATATGTACACTGATTATGTTATGATTTTATCCAGTTATATAATACCATTTTTTGGGTGCTTATGCAAAAATGCCTACAGCAGGTTACGATTAAAGTTACTTCATGGTGTGTAATACCGTTGTAGTAGTGCCAGATGTAATACAGTGGAGCAATTTATTTCTTAATTTTTGGAGAGGCATAATAATTCCAGTGTGGAGTTTCCCCCCCCCCCCCTTCCCCTTCTTTTTAACACGATATCAGATCTGAATCGTTTACTGTCTTCCCCACCCATAGCCAAAGTTTGCCAGGGGTGCGTGGCCATTCTGGTGAGCGGGGCCGTATGGGAGCGGGCGAGCGCCCCAGCACGGAGCGCTCGCTGCTCCGGCGCGTGTTCCGCGCGGCGCTGCCGCTGCACCTCTTCATGCTGCTGCTGCTGGGCCTCGCCTGCCTCGTGCCCATCTCCGAGCACGACCTCAGCTGCACGCTCACGAACAACTTTGCTCGCTCCTTCCACCCCATGCTCCGCTACACCAACGGACCGCCACCAATATGAGCGCCGCCAGATCGGCCCCGCTCCAAGTCAGTCGCGGATTCTGAATGTCCGTGGAATAATCGTGGAGTGATCTCAAGAGATTGCGAGCCAACTCTGGCGAGAACTGCGGCACGAAAGGAAAATACCTTAAGTAGTCTGAAATTGTCATAATTTATTTAACTGTGAATGGGATTATCGTACGGCGAATCTGGAATGTATGAAGAGTTATTTTTCACGCTGAATATTATTATACCACTGTAATATCTTTGGCCTCCACCCACTCTGCCATGTCGCTGCCCTGCAAAGTAGACTTGGGTGCATGTTGAGAAAGCTTGAATAGCAAGTGAAAACGACACTGTACGGTTCTTCATAGCCACTTGAGACATAAAACATTAGACGTGTTAATAGCATGTGCAGCTCACGTCCAGTATTCTGTATTAAGCTTACTGTAATATTCAGTGCCTCTAACTATAATGTATAGTCACTGAAAAATACAAGGTACGTGGCAATTACTTTTAAGAACCATGTGACGAAAGTAATAACGAACACTGTAATTCCACAATTTCATAATAGCACTCTTGAGAAATGTAACAAAAATCCCACAGAACCTGCTGCTGTTATCCGTGCCCTAAAAAGTCTGCGTGCACAGGTTCATTGGTAACGTGCGTCAAGTGAGTGAACAAAGAATGCCGACCACGGACGCGTTGAGATGATGGCAAATTATGAGTGAATGCGTGTGCCGGAGTATATAAGCGATAGGTGCCCGTGCCCTCGCTTCCTGTAGAACCGTGGCCAGAGTGGCGCACGGGCAGCAAACGCTTTGTGCTCCACTGCTACACGGCGGCTCTCACGCCACATGCCGCGAGAGAGCTGCCCGCTGTGTTGAGTTATACCTCAAGCTGTGCTTTTTCTGTAAATATTTTTTTTGTTTGTACGTGCCTATTCTAATGATTACTTCTGCAGTCTGTCGATTATGGTTAATGTTTGCTCTTAGAGTTGGACGCCAAAGGGGTATTCATGTTTGTGTCCCAGCCAGCGGCGGAAGACACCATATGTACAGTAACATGAGTGTGGATGCAGAGTTATGTGAATGGAAAAAAGCTTGTAAATGTTACAATGTCTGAAAATCTTGGTGTAAAGTAATTTTAATAGTGAACTCGGGGAGGATATAGTTGTATTTTTAAAGGAAGGAAATTTTTAAGACATGATGTATAATGTGCTTCCACCTTAAGCTGTATTTATGGTTGATAGAGTTTGACACAATTTTACTTGCAGCGTGAAACACTTTGTTTTGATTCCATAACTTTATTTGCGTTTGTGTTTTGCCAAAAAAAAATTGTTAAAATGTGTACTGTATTTGTTGAAAAAAATTTACATTTGTATTAAATAGCAACAGTATTTAAAAAGAAATGGTCTTGTGATAATTATGCTCGAATTTTTACGTGCTCGAATGTAATGTACGCCTTGTTGGCGGACGGACTGTAATGGCACAAACATTGCCTCAATTTGTTCAGCCAGTCAGAGGGGGAATAGCAAATGTCAGGCCAATACACGCAGCTTGCTCTAACCAGGCTCACGGGGACAGGCATCACGTTGAAGCCCTTACATTCTCATGTGACAGTTGGAGTGGCCATTCACTGAGCCTTGACATTCAAGTTGAACCACCCACACGTGGAGATAGGGACCTTGAGGTTTAAAGTGATTTGTGCACCTCATATAAGTATTATAGGAGTGTAACGATCTCACGATTAATCAATTGGAATTGATTCACCAGCGTAAGATGTATGCATTAACTTGGGTGTGTAACACTCCATGGTTTTTGTTTATAATTCACTAGCTTTACTACCCGGCTTCGTACGGGACTTGGATTCACCACGCCCGGCCGCCTTTGTCTCCCCACTGGCGATGTTCACACACCACACCAGTTGCTTGTTTGAGGCTGAGTCGACCTGGGGGAGGCCCAGGACCGGTTCAAATAATCGTCACCGGTGGTGGCCGTGAGCGGGAATCGAACTCGGGTCGCCGGGTTCGTAGCGCAGCGTAGCGCTAACCACTACACTACCGCTCCCCCCACACACACACACACACGCGCGCGCGTCCATAGGTACACATACACGCACTTGCTGTAGACACACACAACTTTCAGGGTGCGTACGGCAGTAAACGACTGAAATAATAAAGCAATGCTGCGCGAAGAACACCTTAGACCTGCAACACATTTGTATGGCACTTTACTCGCGGAGGGTTGGGGGGTGGGGATGCGTGACGTCAGCAGGCACACTGTGTAACGCTTCCACATGCGCGGGTGACATGACAGATGTGACGTCACAGCTCACTTGCCGTGCAAAATATATCCATTATTGCACCCGCCCCCCCCAAAAAAATATACAAAAGTCTATTTTTATAATTTTTGCATGGTGTACAGTCTGGAAAGTACCCACATGGCAAATTTCAAGTTTGTTGCATGTCGGGAAGTACGCTAAACATTTTGAACGGACACATTCACAAATTTCCCTTTTATATTTAATTAATATATAGTATGGTACATGAACAAACAGATGCGTATGAACACACAGATGATCGCGATTGAGTGATGTAAATTCTCATGTTCCAGAATAGCTGAAATTTGGCACTAGTACGGCACTAGTATTGTCATGTTTGATCTTGATATTTAGAAGAGAATAGCCAGCAGTGGAGGGAGCATAACGATAGCGGAGCTGAAGAAGAGAAGTAGTTAGCAGTGGAGAGAGAGCGTAGCGATAGCGGAGCTGGACACGAGAATAGCCAGTAGTGGAGAGAGCGTAGCAATAGCAGAGCTGACGACGCTGTGTGCCGAGTTGCTGAGTGCGGAGTCGCTGAGTGCGGAGCAAGCGAAGTAATCGTGGGGGAGTGGAGAGACAAAGGTGGCGAGCAAGTCGAGTGAAGCACGGCGAGCGAGCCGTGGCGACCTGGATACTGTGGAATGTGGAGGACATGCTGAGAGATGTAAATAAAGCGGTGTTCGGAGAAAGACAGAAGTTGTCCGAGTGAAATCGAACACTACATGTACACTAACCCAGGACATTAGGCAGAGCGATTTTTGTACTTTGTAGTGTAAGTCGCCTGCCTTAGTTCTGGAGAGCACTCGGTTGCCGATAACATGACATAATGCATCTCACTGCTGTTACATGAGAGTATTGGAGACAGTACTGCACTACACCACTGTGACAACACTTAGAATGCTGCACAAATTAGGCAATGAAAATCTTACTTGCAAATAATACGACCGTCCACAACCAGGCTCATTTTACTGTGCCACGCACCTCTTTTTCCATGAAAATGACACCGTACAGCCTCGGACAATACAGAAACGATGCTACTAAATTACGCAATATTCCGTGGATAACTCTGCATACGTCAACCTGCACAATACCGTACGATACTACATAACCTTATCGCTGCCGTACGCTCCGTGCATTTGTTTGGTGTGGCCGTCTTTGTGAGGAGTACCCAAGGTTTGCCGTACACGTGAAGGTTGCACCTGCGCCAGATATCTAAGCGGTGCCCACTTTAGCTCACTTGACCTGGGCTTCCTCCAGCATATCGGTGAGCAGCGTGCGTAGTGGGATCATGTGTTTCATCTTCATGATGGTCAGATGTTGGATCCCCTTGTTACTGTTGGGCACAAAGAACAAAACACAGAATGCTAATTGTGAGTGAGCAGCCACTTTCCCCTTGTCTGACACACGGCACTGCATTGACACTGTATCTCGTCGTTGTGTCATTGAGTTGGGGCTTGTGTCAAACTAGAGCCCACATCTGGCCATACACCAGAATTGATTCAAGCAAGCTCGACTGCTGATGAGACGCTGTAAAAACCGGTCCAGAGTTGACTCATTCTGAATTAATTAGCCTTTTGCCCGTCCAAGGACGGGTGTATTGCAGTAAATCTGAAACTTGCAAGCGAAAAGCAGACCGCAGTGTGATATTCATTGCATCAATGCGTGTGCAATTTCTAAGGCCGCGGTGACACAGACCTATTTCATTTTAACGGTTACAATCCCTTGTTCATAATGACGTCCTTTTTACTTCGATGTCTCAACAACAGCGTTACGGAGATCGTGTGACGTGAGGGTTCTGCCTTTGTATTTAGGGTTGTAAGTTGACGCTGAGGAGGGGGGATGAGGCTCCTCGGCCCCCCCATGTGAAGTGACGTCACCCGCTAATTATTATTAATGGGGGGGGGGGGTGTCCATTTGGAGGATGTCACCTTAAGATTATTAATGAGGGGGTCTGTTCGATGTGGCGTGATGTCACCTGCTCATGATTATTAATTAGGGGGGAGGGTGCTCCATGTGGAGTGATGTCACCTGCTCATGATTATTAATGAGGGGGGGGTCCATGTGGAGGATGTAACCTGTTCATGATTATTAATGAGGGGGGCTGGTCGACGTGGAGTGACGTCACGAGCGTTGCACACAGACATTCTTGTCTCATTATAGTTGGTAATAATGGGGGGGGGGGCGGTGTCCATTTGAAGGACGTCACCTGCTCATGATTATTAATGAGGGGGGCTGGTCGATGTGGAGTGACGTCACGAGCCTTAAGGTCAGACATATTCCTGGGTGATTATAGTCGGTATACTGCTGAAATTATGCACTCCCCCCAGAAGGCCATTAGGCCAATGGATTGTGTTCAGACTCCGTTTATTCCTTACATGGAGAAACAGGTATGAAGGAGACATTGTCTACTCATCTAGTGTGATCTGAAGCTGATCAGGAGAGCTCTTGACGGGCCAGGATAGTCAAGGTCTGTACACAGCAGCAAAACCAAAGTGGAAGTGAAATGTAATGGTATACATATGAAACAACACAATTAGACTGCAATTAAAAATTAACTGGAGCTTATGAACATTTAAATATTTATGTTGGTATGCCGAACAATAGCCACCATCACTTTAAAGCTGAACCAATGTATTCCGTGTCTCAATAAATGAAGCCACTGTGATGGTAGTTGCACACAAACACGATTAAATAAAAATCCCTCATTGCAATAACTGAATTAAAATAGTGTGTCCAAAAAAAATCATAGCATACTGTACAAAGCAACCCTCATAACATGACCATAAAATACAAAAAAAAAATTCATAATAAAGTAGTATGGGAAGAAAACAAAACATAAACACAGCTTTGGCAGATTTAATGCCTTACAAATTACACACACCCCAAGCCATCACAACCACTACAAACCCCCACGCTGTTGGGGATTGCACTGCAGTGTGCAACGAGATATGAATACAGTACATCCCTACATGTTGTGCAGTGGAGTGGATATAAATCGGGGCAAAGGAGTGATGATTAGAATTGAGGTAGGAGGGCAGAGAGGTATGGAATTTTGGAGAGAATGTTATTCGGGAAGTCGAGAGTCAATGGTAGAGGAGAGGATGAAGGACTTCAGTTTGCGTCTGCATTAAGAGAGGGGAGGAGGAAATCAGCAGCGTGGGCATCAGAGACAGCAAAGGGGAAGAAGCGACATACAGTTTGGAGGTTGATTTTGGAATCCGTCAAAAGGCTGCTTGAGTGAAGCGGCGTTCATCATTAGCACTGTCAGAGGGAACGGTGAGACTCACTACTAGATGAAGATCGCACTTTACTCTTGCTCACAGCACCTTAAATGTGCAGTGGAGATGGCTGGGTGACTCAAGAGTAAGAGCATTGAGCTAGCACAACTGAGATTGTAATGTAATTTTTCACTGAATTTCGCAAAAATTCCAGCTCCAATAATTAAATTAACACATCAGTTTTCCAAAATCACAATCTCTGCAACAGGCCATGATCGAAACAAGGGTAGATTAATAAAAAAAAATAGCACTTGAAAGTATTCGGAGGTTCAGAGCTGCGAAATCTCCTTCTGCCGGCTGTTCTCTAACAAAGGTGGTATGTTTAACACGTGCGGCTTTCGCGACCAATAATTGGCATGCTCTGTTCTGCGAGAGTTTCTAGAGGACACTTTGTCTCAAAGTCACGAAACCAACAGCACAGCTGGCTTCAAAATAGAAAAAAATAATTTGTCAACCTCTTAAAGTTGGAATTGAGATACGAACACGTTTGTCCACGTGAATCAGGGTGCACTCACGAGGCTATGTAGCTGATCTGGTGGATGTGGGAGAGAAGCATGAGCAGCCGCGTTAACCGGTGGAACTGCTGCCCCTCCGACAGACAGCTGTGCTCCAAGAAACTGACCAGCGCATTGCTGACAGTGTCCATTATCTTGCAGACCGCCTTGATTGCATCTGGCTGCTCGGTCAACATCCAGTCTGAGCACAGACCTGAACAAAGCAGAGCTGTTGTCAACGCGGGGTAGAGCAGCAGCATCATGCATTCACAATGTGTTGCTTTGTAATCCAGTGAGTATTTATGCGAGGCTGTATCAGCCATTAGCAAAGGCCCACGATGTGCAGGGAGGGCTGCTTTTGTAATACGTAAAGAAAAAAAGTCGAAACATCTTCATACTAAAAAGTATAATGGGACAGTACTCATCACCATTGATGGCTCCAAGCAAAGGATGTAAATTCCACATCCCCCTGGCGTGGAACAAGATACAATGCATTCAGTAGTGTAGTTGTAGAAGGGCCCTCCTTTCCAATCATGACTTCTCAAGTTCGTATAACCTTGCTCAGCTCAAAAAAAAACATATCAACTCTTATCTATGACACCTTCACTTGTGCTGTTTGCTGCTGACTTCTTGGCATTGCGGACCATTGAACCCGTGCTCAGCAACTGAAAAAAGTGGGTAAACAAGACCATATTCCATATCCCCCAAATGAGAAGTAAATAAATCCGATTTACCTGGCATTCATTTCCCCTTAAACAACGAGACACTCATCAGAGAGATTGCGTGCAAGGTGGAAGAAAATAATCGTAATGGTAATACGCGCAAAAAGTTATTGAGACCGGAAAAGATGCGATTGACCACTGGATGAGTCCTGCCACCATGCCTTGCAAGTCACATGACATCACCTTCTCCGAACTTTAGTTTTCTGTCCAATGGCAGGACTTTGGCAACACCATACTGTTCTTCCATGCGCTATGCACACTGCTGTGTTTTAAACCACCAGTTCATGTTTGCCCTCGACAGCACGGCTGAACGCATTCTATTGTGCTTACTGGAAGCGAAGGCCGACCGATAAACATACCAACATTGAGGAGGACCATAGCCTTGAGACAGGCGTACTCCTCCATCCGCAAGCACAGCTCGCGGAAATGGGTCACGATAGCCAGCACCTGGTCGAAGATTTCCATGGTGCCTTCCATACGGCTGCCGTCAGCCCTGTTTGGATTAATGGTAGACAAGCGAGACGAAGGAAACATTGAAAACATTTATTTAGAGTTTACTTAGCAAATTACGCATTAAAAATGTAGCTGCATTGCGTGAGAAATATAAAAAAAATCTAAAATGCGCGGTTATTTTATTCTCCGGTTTTAGTTGCGTTAAGCCACACATATACTGATTTGAAGCTTTCGTGACTGCAGGAATCCATACTCTTGGTTCTTTCGGTAAAGTCATCACGCAGATAGAAAAATAATAAATCACGACGTTTTGATCGCAACACAAGCAATCGTCATCAGTTGGGACAACCACAGCAAGAACAAACTGCTGAAGTAGGCGAGAGATCTGCCGTGGCACGAGGTTATATAGTAGGCCTCGGCAGTAGGGGTCTATTCTTTTTCTACCTACGTGACTTTACCGAAAGAACCAAAGAGTATACATATATACTGTTATGCAATACTGCATTTTGCAAGAATGTCAAGATAGGATCAGGTGCAATTGCCTTGTAAACACAAGGTCTGAAGCAAAGACCAGAGTGTCCTGTTGTTCCATGGATCTCCAAATTAGTCCGGTGATGAGTACTTCGACCCAGGAGTTCTCCAGGAGCTGTATCTTAACTGGCAGGTCCAGCTCCATGAATCCTTCAGGGAAGAGTGGGGCCCAAAACCATCAGCATTGGCGTTCACTGGCTGGGTGTGAACAGCGATTCATTCCACTGCTACCACTTCTCTTCACTGTTGCTTCTACACATTATGGCTTTTGACGGAACTGCCAAGTCACAAGGCAGAGAGTTATTTCATGAGCAGTGTCTCGCGTTCATAATTTCCCACACAAAATAAGACACGTATGCAAGTCCGTGGCTTTTTTTATATTTTTAACAACAAAAAACATCTCCACATTATAGAGTGTACTAGTGTTTCAACTATGATTAGCATGTGGAAGTAATTATGGTGTAAACAGCGTGCGGCTGGCACCTTAAAAAAAACAAACCCAGCAGGCGCTTTAACAGGCACAGTAGTAAAGTGTGGCCAAATTAACTAACGATTGCGCAGGCTGCTAAAGTTCGTGCCTCACCAGGAATCTTCTTGGCCCAGGAGACTATGTGCACCATCTCCTTGGTGGCCAAGTCAGTGAACAAGGTCATCATGGAGGCCTCGGTCAGTGGCTCGCCCGGGGATCGCATACACAGCAACTTCGGGGGCTCGGCCTCCAGGAGGATGTGGATGATGCCCATGCCCTCCACGTGTGCATGAGGCACGGCTCCTCCAAACGACCTGATGCCACCCCTCCGAGCATCACTTTTGAAGCCTCTGTACCTTAGCAATGAGCAATCGTTGTTCACTCTCCCTCTGTGGCTCCTCCAGTGACCTTTGCGATCTGCTTACGGTGAACACAAGGTAAACTGGACAAGTTTTGTATTGTATAAATGCATAAACAGATCAAAGTCTGTCCCATTACATAGCATAATTAATGTTTTTTTTTCTATTCATTGGCTAACATTCCTTCCAGAATAGTGTTTTAAAGCAGCATCAGTAATGAGTTATGCAATCAAACTTCTTTGTTGGTTCAGAATAAACCTTATCCACATTATATATTTCAGGTCAAAGGGAACACCAATGTAATACAATCCAATGCGATATGGTACAGCATGTATATGCGACCACATCTCAAAACGCTGTAAACTACACAAACAGCGCATTTATTTTATACCGCGATGCAGTTATAGGCAAAGGTAAAAAGGAAGGTTTTGAATATGAATTCGAACAGTGGAAGGAAGACGACAGAGTGGATGACTGGGAGGAGGTAGTTGCAGAATATGGGAGCAAGCAGATAATAATGGCCTACTTGTTGAAGGCTGACTGGGTGCTTCAGTGGAGAGCCTTGGTTGCTGGGGAGGAGAGTCTGCCGTTGGAAGTTAAGTGAGATGAGACGGGAGATACAGGCAGGGGGCGGAGTCTATGAGAATCTTGATCATTGTGAGTTTGATGTTAAAATTGATCCTGGATTGGATTTGAGTGATTTGGGTATTAAGGAGAGGTATTGATTACAAGTGCAGTTGAAAATTCTTGGCAACGCCATTTTGGATCACCTGAAACTTGGAGATGAGGGATTTGGAGAGGCCGTAGAGGTGAGAGTTGCAATAGTCGAGCCGGAGTGTGATGAAGGCATGGATGAGAGGCTCAGCAGCAGCAGCAGCAGCTGGGGTAAGAAAATGGCATATGCGGTCGATGTTGCCATGATGGAAGTATAAGATCCTGTACCATTAAGATATGTGGAAAGAGAATGAAAGCGTGGGATCACACATTCTGCCAGCGTGATGTCATAGATTAGCAGCTACATGATGTCTTGTTTAAATTAAGCAACAGACGAAAACATTACAGCTTTCCCTTACTTCCCTCAATGTTATATAATTTAAAATTAATTGGTTATGCTGCATTGGCAGTGTTGCACAAGCACTATTAAAAAAACAACAAGAATTGGCAGTAACACTGCCTTAAAAGGAAAAAAATATATGATCATGTTCCATAGGCAGATAGCCCATAGGTGTCCACTGCAGATTTCATCATTTGTTTCCAATTTCCTCTGCCTTGTGCCAAGATGCTCAAGTAGTGCCACATCTTTCTGGCACCAATCTCGTATGTCGTCAAGCCATTCTCCGGTTCCTTAAATTTTTCCCAACAACACACTTTTAATTTTCCTGTTGTTGTCCATCCTACTACACGTGTGTCCACATTGCGCCAGTTTCCTTCTCATCACTGCCTGCATCATCAGTCATCAGGTTGTCTTCTTCTAGGTGCAACCTTTTTCTTACGTCTTCGTTGCTTACTCTTTGGGTCCAGCTTAGATGCAGCAGTATCCTTCTGTAGCAATGCATTCCGAGTGCTAATATGTTGTACCTGTCAGTCTTTTTAAATGCCCAAGTCTTGAAAACATATAAAGCTGTACTCTTGCCTTGAAGATCCTCGCTCTTATGTCTGTCGTACAGTTCTTGTCCCATGTCAGTAGACTTCCCAAGTATACATATTCCTTTACATTCGCAATCTTTATGCTTTCTGTTATTACTTATATCTCAATGTCCACCCATCCAAACACCATCATTTTGTCTTTTCGACGTTAATCCTCAGTCCTGCATCCTTTCCTGACTTATTCAGCATATGACCATAGCCACCTCAGCACGCTCGCCGTTGAGGCTGCTCACCGATCTTACATTAACATGCAAATTTTTACCTAGCAGCCCTTTAATTGGTGGAAAACCCACCACCGTCGCGGTCGCCGCCCACCAGCTACATTAACATAAGCTGCCCCGCCCATGATGACATTTGGGCTACGCCCATTTCAAACCCTTATAAATAGTTTGCCTTTAGAAGCTAACTCCCCTTTTTCCTGGTGACGACCGCTTGCGTTGCGATCGAAACGTCGTAGTTTTTTGTTATTTTCTTTGAACCTATCTACGTGACTTTACCGAAAGACCCAAAGAATATGAATTCCTGCAGTCATGAAAGCTTTAAGTCAAGATTTCGCCTGTAGGTGTTTGGGCAGAAGTTGTATTCCTGATTCGGATATAAGAAAAAAACGATTGTTTCTATGTTTATTGTCAGTCAAATATGATTTCCTTAATTTACATATGATTCATATAATTTGATATTAAAATAGTGTATTATTAATTCATATCAAAGGTTTTTGGGTTAGATCGCGTTATTTATATAATGTGTCGTAACCCTCCACCACCCGACACGGCCAAACAGTGAAAAATGTGTCACGTTGACAAAAGACAAAATAGTTCACTACTTTAGGTGATCACTGCATCTGAATGAGTTAAAGGATGACGTCACCCTGCTGCTCTATTTAAGACCGGGAGCAAGTGAGGGCTTCACCATTCTGGCAAATTGCCCGGTGATGCTGGATGTAATTACCAGCGAAGCGTCGTACTCAAAAATTGTAAATGCTGTGGATTCACTCTTCATCACACCGGTGTGGGCTAAAGTAGTGAACTATTTCGTCTTTTGTCAACCGTGTCGGATGGTGGAGGGTTACGACACATTTATAAATAACGCGATCTAACACCAAAAACCTTTATTATGAATAATATTGGTCACGAAAGCCTACGTATTAAACCGTATTATTAATGATTTAAGTACGCATTGCTTCCTTTATGCAACATTATCAGGGACTGCAGGAGATGTAGGAGGCACTACAGATGTTCGTTGTTAAATATTAAAATGTTTCTTGTTAAATGTTTGTTAAATCATATGTATTGTTCAATGTTCTTAGATATGATAAGCGGCTGTTATCATAATTGAGATTTTGGTGGACTCAATGCTGAGGAGCTGAGCTGTTGTGTGACGTAGAGGGTGACAGGGGTGTGTCTGGTTATTGTTGCGTATACGCAAATGCTCCTCGGTAGAACACTTTTCAATAAAGCATTTACGTTTCACAAACCTCGAGCACCCATCTGTAGTGGAGTCGCCAAATTCTCAGAAGGACAAAACACTGAGTACAGTATGTACTCTTCTTTGGTTCTTTCGGTAAAGTCACGTAGAATGAGAATAAAATAATAAATTAATAAAATAAAATAACACAATAAAATTCTCACGACGTTTCGGCCACAACACAAGTGGCCTTCTTCAGGTGAAAGGAACAGACCTGTCTGGACGACAGAGCTTCAATGAACGTTGTTAAGATTCGTAGCGTCTTTTAAGCTGGTTTAGAGATGTGAGGCACCTTGACATAGGGGTTCACATATCAAACAGGAGAATTTAGCATTGAAATAGCTGAGTGATTAGCTTGTGACTGGTCTTACAAATAGCTATGTTAAAGTCAAAGCTTACACATCCACAGAGGCACCTAGTACAAATCAAACAGGATAATTTAGCATTGAAATAGGTGATTAGCTTGTGACTGGTCACAGAAATGGCTATGTTAAAGTCAAAGCCTACACATCCACAGAGGCACCTAGTACAAATCAAACAGGAGAACTTAGCATTGAAATAACTGAGTGATTAGCTTGTGACTGGTCATAGAAATAGCTATGTTAAAGTCAAAGCCTACACATCCACAGAGACACCTAGTACAAATCAAACAGGAGAATTTAGCATTGAAATAGCTGAGTGATTAGCTTGTGACTGGTCACATTTAAATCGAAAAGTATGTACTCTATTATTGTTGATAATAACTTTATTGTTATTGTTGTCTATTTAGCAGAACTGTCCCTTCCTGTAGAGGAGCATGGCGGGCCGACTACGCTTTGATTTGTTTATTACACGCTTTATTTCACTCACTCTGTCTGTTGTTGTTGCTGTCGTATCTTCAAATCTTGTAACTCTATTTTAACCCACTTCCCAATGTGGTATCGACTGCAAACTTGGTAAACTTATGTCATACTGATGACAATATTATATTCTATCATTAAACAAAAAATAAACCATCTTATTATATGTTATGTTTCGGCTTGGGTCTAATTGTCCACGCTCAACTAACGTTGGCTGTAAATCACCACGGTCCCCTTACGTTATGCAAAGCTTCGGGGCCACTTCCTGGATTCGTGGAGTTTTGCCATTACTCGTACGGTACATTTCATTAAAGCGTGTTTTTAAAAAGTATTTTTAAATATTACTTTTTTTGGTAGAAAATAGATGATTGGTGTCTGAAGAGTTTGAATTGATGGTATTGCCAGTCTCAGGTAGGGCATACTTACTAATAAGTGGTTGCATAATGTCTTTGACTACTTGTTGCGACTTAGCTGTGAGGTCTTTGTCGACTTTGCCGTAAAAGGAAATTACAGTCTGTTGTCTGACTCCTTCCTCTTTGTAAAGATTGGTGTTATTTAAAATTGCATTACTTTAGCACAATAATGCTCATTTACTGAGCCATGTTACATGCCAGGTGTTTACCATGACTGGCGTTTTTTTCAAGTTGCTTTAGTGATTTAATTACCATGCAAAGTAAAATCCTGTCTCTCGAACTAAGCATATCACTATGCTCATCTATATTGGTACTATTGCAAAGCCACCAATGCAAACTGCAGTGCTGTAAATTGCATCGTACAGTATTCGTACAATGGAGGGCCACTGTGTACTTCTCATAACGTGGCACTTATTTTATGATGAACTCTGAGCTGAAACCCAACTGGAATTTAAGTCATGGTCTTCAAACAGCGAGGTGGCTGTGTGCGCACGGCATCACGCCACCAAATGTCTCCCTTAAGGGAAGAATGCATAATAAAACCGCAGAAAACATCTAACTAGACTTCAGGACACTCCGTCCGTAGCCAACACACTAAACACTTCAAAATCAACTATATGATCACTAAAAATATAAAACCAATTAAGAAAGTAACTTCAATTTTAAGATCAGCTTAACAATGAATTGTACACTGT